CCCGAGACCCTTGTGACGGTGGTGGTCGGTGTCACCTCGCGGCCCGAGACCCTTGTGACGGTGGTGTTCGGTGTCGTCACGTCGTCGGCTCCAGCTCATGGAAACCGTGTTCATGATCAAGTGCAGCCCGAGGCCAGGCCGTCCCGTGGTGTGGGGGCGTTGGCATCCACAGCTGTGGCCGTCGTGTGAGTCAGTCTCACGGAGGGTTTTCCTCGTGTTCGCTGACCTTCAACCAATCACCACGTCCTTTTTCTCAGCAACTGTTCTTTGCTGCAGACTTGTCCAAAGTCAGCGGCCTTCGCTCGGAGGAGCCTTACAGGGTGTCTTTCCGAGACGTGTGTTTGCTCTTCTGGCAGTGCACCGGGCCCCAGTGTTCTTGTGCACACCCTAATCAGACCGGCGGCTCTTCCATCTTCCTACGCCTTGTCCACCTTTCACGTGTCTGTGAGGCCATGCAAACGACCCGGCCTGGGTCCGTTTGCTTTTTACGACTGGAAGCTTTGTCCCCGTTAGTCCTAAAGTAACATCTCTGCGTTATGCAGCTCGAAGAGGTCGTTTTGCAGCAGATTTGCCTTGACTGTTGCTTCAGTGGGATTGATTGTACATCCGAGTAGAAATCCTTGACAACGTCCAGTTCTTCTGCATCTCAGCTCCCTTCAACTTGAACGGTCACTCTCACTGAGTCGATGCCGACCCCCAGAGACCCCGTAGGACAGGGTAGAACAGCCTCTGTGAGTTGTTATGACTCTCGCTGTTAACAGGAGCAGAGAGCCTCGCCTTTCTCCCGCAGAGTGGCTGGTAATTTCTAACTGCAGACCTTGTGGATCGCAGCCCATCTTGTAACCACGATGCCACCAGGGCTTGAATAGGGTTGCCTGATACAACCTGTAGGAGTCTGTGAAAATGACGATGACTTCTGAGGTCAAGATATAAAGACACTGTACTGGGTCATTTGGTCTTGAAGGAATCAGTATCATATAAGGGGGACACTTACACAACCCTGCGGGAAGTCCCAGGTAGGAAGGAACTGGACCTTCTATAGGCCTAGCACTGAATTGCCAAGCATGCCAGTGACCCTTCAGAAGTGGGGTCCCTGAGTCCTTGTGAACCCTTCTGATGTTACCAACCCAGCCAGCATCTTGAGTTTTACTTCACTAGAGACCCCAAGTCTTCTAGAACCACGGGGGTAAGCCATTCCTAGATTCTTGATCCACAGAAGATACATGAGATAACGATATACGTATCACTGAAATGTGGGTTATTTGTTACTCAGCAGTAGTTCCCAGTATACCTAGCGCTTGTCCTACTGTGTTTCCCCTGACCTGGGATCCTCTTGACTCTGCACTCACCAGCGTGTGCTCTCCGTGCTTCACCTCCTGCGTCACCGGCGTGTGGCTGTGTGAGTCTGAAGCGGGACTGATGGACTCGTATTGGATTAATGGACTTGAGGTGGGGACTGGGATGCCTTTTTGATATATAATTACTTCTTGATGTAAAGCTCTTTGTTAGACAGAGATGAGTATCACTGGATTTGTTTCTCAGTCAACCCGGCCTAGCACACTAAGGGAAATGAAAAATGTCTATAATATTATCTCCTTTGCATACTTTGTGGCAAGTAGCTTCACTTTTTCTTCATATGAGTACTAAAATGTATCTGCATATATGCACACACACCTAAGAGATTAGTTTGTCAATAAACACAGGATAATGTTAAATGTATTGTCCTGCAACTTGTACCATTTGTTTAACAAAGTGTCTGGGGTTTTTTCCATCGAAGGTGATATTAATCTGTGCCATTATCATCTCTCCAATTATTCCTTCTAGTATACCACTCACCGAATCCCGAGAAGCCGGGAGGTGCGGCAGTCCTGGCTCTCCTCGGTGCTCACCACCTTGTACTCCTTGCTGTACTCCCTCCCCCTGACTTTCAGGCTGAAGCCGGATTTGGTACGTAGCACCCTCACTGAGGACAGGGAGGGAACGTACCCTTACTCTTAGTCAGTGCTTCTCAACCTGCCTCATGCCACGACCCTTCAATCCAGTTCCTCGTGTTGTGGTGACCCCCCAACTCTAAAATTATTTTTGTTGCTACTTCATAACTGTCATTTTGCTACTGTTATGAAATGGGCGACCCCTGTGAAAGGGTGGTTCGACCCCCAAAGGGTTCATGACCCACAGATTGAGAACCGCTGCTCTTAGTGGATCCTTGATTAGTAACAGCGAATGTTGTGTTGTTGTTTTTAAACCGTTATCATTAATCAGTGTGCTCAGGCATTGTACGAGACCCCTTGCTGAAGTGTAGTTGGTCCCCGGCTTCCGACCGCATTCCGTTCTGCTGACTGTTTCAGGGTACAGAATAGACACCATCTCAGATATAACTTAAGTAGAACATACATGAAATCTTCAAAGCCAAAGATAACACAAATGCACATCATCCACACGAGGGAGGCCATCAGCACAAGATTAAAATGGGATCCAAGGGTTTGTTGATATACCAGCCTTTAAAAAGGGCATAGGTGGGCAAAGGAACCTGTCTCGAGAACATCTTTGGTGGCAGACCCCACTACATCGCAATTACAGGTGGAACCGCAGATGCAGGACTGGGCCGTGTTTCCTTCGGTTGTGTAGAAGGTTGCTATGGATCGGAACAGACTCGATGGCGCCTAGCAGGAACAGCAGAAGCAGGACTGGGACCTTGAGTGGGACATGTTCATTGTTAGAAGACTTACAAGATGGGTCTAGGGCCTCCTGACCCAAGGCAGTGAGGATGACACTGGCAGGACATGACTCAGGACGAACTGATGACCCCCTATACTGTCCCCAGTACACTGACCTGTCAAGACAGACCCAGGCAAGCCCCTAAAAGAGAGACTGTGCCTCCCTGCGCTGGCTTGAGAAGGGTGGAGGTAATCTACTTTCCACTCCGTCTAAGAGTGGAATTATCTACATCCTTGGTTAGTGATCAGAAAGAATTCAATGGAGGCTTAATCTTTTCAGAAACCCTGCAAATGGATTTTGGACCAGGGTGCACAAAATTTGCAGACTGGGGTGCACAAAATTTAAGCCCTGATACATGACTCTCATTGTAAGTCACTTCTGATCCAAGTTGAATGCTTCATTTATTCTATTTATTTGTTTAGTGAGTTTTCATTATGACAACCTTTTATTATCAGTTTCTTTATAAATCAGATATTTACATGCATTTGATGACTGGAAATGTTACATATGAATTTGCAGATAGGATTATATCAGCAGCTTATGGGCTGCAGCCTAGTAAGTAGTACATATTGCTAAGGATAACCCCAAACCAAAACACAATGGATGATGGTAAGTGTGGTTTCAGGCAGGGATTACCTGTATGCTAAATAATTATCATTTGAAGGGATTGACTTTGCTGAAAGATGTGAGAGATTTGCCTTCCCTTTCCAGCTAGGACTTGAGACCACAGCGCATCCCATTCACATCTTTGTTCTGTGCTTGTCTTTTAACCAATCTGTGCATCCTTCCCGGTGGGCCCTGAACTGATGTCACGTGCTCATCAACCAGAAAGGAGCCTGCTCATTTCTCCTGAGTGATCTTTCTGGACTTTGTCAGGTCTGTGCACCGGATATGGTTTCCAGCGGACTCGGGCGGGTTTTTATGGGGAAGTAGTACGGAGAAGAGAAATGTGAAAACGTGGTCAGAGTGCTCCATGTTCAACTTTACCTTCCTTATCTGAAGCTCTGCAGCTCTCCCTAGCCCTTAAGGGAGGGTTTCTATTATTAAACTCCAGATAAACTGCAGGTGGACAATGTAGATCAGTCGATAAGTTGTCATCATAGCATGCACAATTCTTGAATAGCCCCATTCCTCTGAAGACAAATCTATTAGCTGGCATAGCCTGGAAGGAAACCCACAGCTGCCTTCCAGAGTCATGGCCCTGACACAGGGTTATTCCCGTGAAGAGTCGAACAGAAGTGCAGTTAGGCACGCTGAGCGTGAACGCTCTCTATCCGTCGGGCCGTGGCTTCTCATCAGCTGGGTTGCAGTCCAAGTCCCTCTATGGGTAGGTTAGATTGCTTTAAAAGATAATGACTTACTTCCAGTGAACTACACTGATCTAGTTCAACCTACACCTCCCCATCCAAAAGCATTGCCATCAGCCTAGACATTTGTCTTACTCTGTCCCTTGCCCCCAAGCAACCACATTCTGATGTGTTATTGTGGATTCCTTTTACTTAAACTCTGCTTTAACTTTTTGATAAAACACTCTTCTAACACAGTGAGGATCATTTCTTAGTGTGTGGAGTTCTGCTGTTTCCCTACAAGGTCTGTTGCCCTGAAAAGCTTTAACTTGCTTATTTCTAAAACATGAGGCAAATAGAAGGATAGCTTAGTATTTGTCTTCATTATCTTAGTGCTGCGTTCACAGAAATACCACACATGGGTGCTGTAACAGAAATGTAATTTCTCAAAGTTACAGGGCTGGACCATCAACATCAGGGCCGTTAGGGAAAGCGTTCCATCTCAGTTGGCTCTTGGGGAAGGCCCTGCTGCTTGGTTCCTTGGTTCCTTGGAGGTCATCATGTGCTGTGGCACCTGCTTTCTCCCATCACTGCTTCCTGTTTGAGCTGTTCTTTTCATATCTCAAAAGATACTGATTTAATACACACCCGGCACTAGTTCTGTCTCCTTAGCATTACAAAGAAATCCATCTCCCAGGGCGATTTTACCCTAGGTTTAGGGGGTAGGATTTACAACACCTATTTAGGGGGATACAATTCAGTCTGTAACAGCATTTTGGACTGGAAATTTAGGGCTCACGTTTATTAAATCACTAGAGAGATCTGGCCACGCTCGTTGGCAACAGCTAGCTTGAGTGTGGTAACAGCAGGACTTTAAGGTGTTAGGCTCAAAAGGAAATCCTGATGTGATGAGGACGATGGCTTGGCCTTGGCATGTGACAGCCTTGGTAGAGGAGAGAGTAACCAACTGGGCAAAGGGTACTTGCTTCCAGCCCCACTCTGGCTTTTATTTATTATAATCAATTCCTTTGTGGGTCTCAGTTTTTCACCTTAAAACAGAGGCTTGGACTAGATGTTCTGTTTCCAACTGGGTATAAAAGTTTATGAGCATCATAAATTTCCTTGTAAAAAGTGGAAGGAAAAACCGATTATGATGTTTCTACTCCTTTGAGTGGAGAAGGGGAGACAAGACTGTAAAAGAAACATTTCCATTTTAAAAGGAATTCATTTAAAGAACACATTTCAAACCTGAACATTATCTGACCAGCTATTCTGATGCAGCTGCCTTCAGAAAATGAACTCTTAATAAATAAAGATCCCCTTAAAAGAGAAAAAGGGAATGGTATGGGACCTTTTTCACTACATTGGAAGCAAAACTAAAATGTGCAGATCCCTCCTGTATTCACCCTGGCGGGCCGCCTTCTCCCCACAAGACTTTTCTCCCTGAGCACTATTCCGTCTTCTTGGCAAGAGTGAAAGGAGAACTTGCTCTTAGGAAGGATAGCAGCATCAGGGCTTGACATCACCTGACGTGTCTGAACAAGCAGGAAGACAACCTCTTCCTTGTACCTGCGCATCTGAGTTACGGCTGCCTAGCCACCCAACTCTCACTGCCCCGCACTCACTTTGTCACCTGCAAAACACAAACAAAGGCACTTTGCTTGTTATTCCGTATTGATTGCTAAATCGTTGAGCATTCCAATGGTTTTGCGGTGGAAAATCCGCATTGTATGTAATAGTTAAAAATTATTGAGCATTTATATGTGCCAGATATAGTACAAAGCATTGTGCATTGAAGCTGTATGAGAATGATAGAACTGTGATTCACATTTTCCTAACAAAAGCCATTAATTGCTACATCAGGTAATCACTTATGGAAGAGATCATCAGGTTCCGTTCAACAGTCAGGCACATGTTGTTGTAACTCAGCCACTACAGTCCCCATTATAGTACCATCACGTCCTCACTTCCGGACTGTGTTTCCTGATTCCACTTCTAATTTTTGTCCTTGGGAAAATGCTGCCCTTTGGATGGTAAATGGCTGATTATTCTAATAAAAGCGTGAGTCAGTTGTAGCCCTGCAGGTTGACCTGAAGGGCCAAACTCTTGAGGATTCCAGCGGCCTCTTTCTGACCAGGAAGCCAGGGTTCTTTTTTTTTTTTTTAAATCATTTTATTAGGACCTCATACAACTCTTATCACAATCCATACACACATCAATTGTGTAAAGCGCATTTGTACATTCATTGTCCTCATCATTCTCAAAATATTTCCTCTCCACTTAAACCCCAGCATTAGGTCCTCATTTTTCCCCTCCCTCCCCGCTTCCCCCACCCTCATGAGCCCTTGATAATTTATAAATTGTTATTTTGTCATATCTTGCCCTGTCCGACGTCTCCCTTCACCCACTTTTCTGTTGTCCATCCCCCAGGGAGGAGGTCACATATAGTTCCTTGTAATCGGTTCCCTCTTTCCAACCCACTCTTCCTCTACCCTCCCAGTATCGCCACTCACACCACTGGTCCTGTAGGGCTCATCCAGCCAGGGCTCTTATGATTGATTCTGTTTCACAGTTTTCTCCCACTACAGCCAGGAGTGCTGGTCCTTTTCAGAACACTTGGTTAGGGTGGGCTGACTTGAGAAACAAATCTAGAGACACTCATATATGTATGAGAAAGAGCGTTATATCAAGAAGTAAATGTATATAAGGAAAACGTCCCATCCCGGTCCCACCCAAGTCCCTAACTCTGATATTAGTCCGTAACTCCAGTTCTAGTCCATAAATCCCTCTTCAGACTCACGAAACCACATGCAGTGATGCAAGAAGATCACAGGCCAGTGGGTGCAAAATCTTGTGGATCCAGTGGTGGTGGACGCATCTCCCTGGCTCATGCACGTCTCAGCATGGCTCTCCAGCATGAAGGTGAAGGCGGAGAGAGAAATC